AAACCCTTATACAATTAAAGAATTGAAGAGAAATTTCTGAAGTGCACTTTACTCAATTTGTCAAGTGAAATTATAGTGCATGAATGTAAACCTTTCATGAAGGTGCCAGAAATTTATGTCTTTTGATTCATCAAGTGTGTAAATGTGATATGTAGCTGATTAATTTGTTGTATTTGTGTAAAGACAATGAAATTAATGGTAACAAGATCTAGATAATATTATTCAGATGACAAACCCCCTATATTAGGGTGGTAAGTGTATACTGTAAAGATATGCATGAGAATTAGATGTAAAACTGACAATTTCCCTATCCAAATGGTTGTAATACCTGTATGTATGGATTGTCGAATGGTAATAGAAATGAAATGAAATGAAATGCATGTACAACAATTCAGCATCTGCTTTAATCTGGGTAAGTTTAACTTGTAATGTGTTTAGGCTGTGGATATTTCAGTTCACTAATGGTTCAAATCTATTCGCGTCTGCCTTCACAGAATGAGTGCCCGACTCTTTCACCTGAGAGGTTCAATGATAATTTGGGTGTTCAAAAATGTCTCACTGTATACTGCATGGGACTATAAATACTGCATCACTACTGAGGTTGGATATTAAATCAAGCAGACTTGGCAATCCTACGGCCATTTATGTAACATTGTATCTATTATATAAAATAATTATTTTTCTGAACATATTAATATGCCCAATAGGTTTCATTATGCTTGGGTGTAATTGTAAACAGAAATCATGCTTTCAAGGAAGAAGTGACTACTATTTCCACATCATGTTGCACAGAATCATAATAACCCGTTCATAAACCAGTCAATGAAAAAACAACTCAGAAAAACCATGATCTATTCTCATATTATATTCCTTGGATGCCAATATTTCTTCTCATAAATTCAATCATAAACGTTAAAATTGTAGTCTTCTTGGATATAAAGCCATATAGTATGACAGATAGGTACCAACATTTCAGATGAACATGCTACCACCATCTTCAAGGAAGAAAATTGTCTCATCTTCTTTACTCTGAAAACAGAGGCTGCAGGTTCCTCTGAACCATTAATATGTGGGTAGGCTGAAAAGTAATGCACACATGCTTATAGAGCGCAAACAAAAACAAATAGCAAGATTGGGCAAAAAGTACATTAAAGTACAATTCTTAAGTTTCAAAAGCATATATTTAATTTTCAACACAGTCACCGTTAAGGCTAACACATTTCTCCCAACATGTAACAAGTTTTTTCATTCCGTCACTGAAAAATTCTTCCGACTTTTCTTGAATCCAGGACTTGACAGCTGCCTTCACCTCATTGTCCGAGGTGTAATGATTACCCTTGAGGTCTCTCTTGAGTAGAGGAAAAAAATAAAAATCGCAAGGCGCAAGATCGGGGGAATAAGGAGGGTGTGGAATCGGTTCAAACTTCAGGTTTCGCAGAGCCTCTTCAGTTGCGCGCGAGGTGTGTGGACGAGCGTTGTCATGTTGCAAGATTATTGGCGCCAGGCTGCCTCTAACACGACAAACTCGACGCTGGAGGTGTTTTAGAGTCTGTATGTACTGAGAAGAATTTACCGTTGCCCCTCGTTCCAGAAAATCGGTCACATAAACTCGGTGAGCATCCAAAAACACAGTCAAAAGAAGTTTTTTGGCAGATGGTTGTGTTTTGAACTTTTTCGCCTGAGAAGAAGACGGATGTCGATATTCAGCACTCTGTCTCTTCTCTTCCGGGTCATAACGATGGACCCATGACTCGTCCCCCGTCACAGTATTTAAAAGAAAGTCGTCTCCTTCGTCATGGTAGCGCTGCAAAAGTTGCTTGCAGCATTCCAGTCGATGCTGTTTGTTCTCGTCTGTGAGACGGCATGGTACCCATCGTGCACAGATTTTACGGTATCCCAATTGTTCAATAATGAAGCCCACACGTTCCTTGGATATTCAAATATGGTTTGTGATATGCTTTTGAGTGATTCGCCGGTCATTTTGAATCAAATCGTCGACGAGTTTGCGATGATTAATGTCTGTGGCAGTGATCGGATGTCCGCTGCGTGTTTCATCAACAATTATGGATTTTCCAGGCTCGCAACCACGAAATTTTATTACCCATCGATTTACAGTAGACCTATCAACAGCATCGTCACCATAAACAGCCTTTGAACGATGATGAATCTCAGTAGGAGTCACTTTTCAGTAGTTAAAAATTCAATAACAGCATGCTGTTTAACTCGCGTTGACATAGCACTAGAACACGTCTCCATACTTCCGCTTCTTGAAATACACTGGATGAACATAACGACCTCAAACCTGCGCATGCGTACTGAGGGGGAATGTTACTTCCACATGCCACCTGGCACGCTTCTGAAGGTCATTTCGTTCATGCTCTACAAGCATCTATGCATTACTTTTCAGCCTACGTACGTACCTATCTACCAAAGTATACAGCACCACATCCCAGGATTTTAAAACTTAATATTCACTACCATGATAACCTCAAGTCTATCATAATCAGTTTCAAACCCAAACTTTTTCAGATTTACATTTGACATTAAAAATACAAATAATTCATTAATGTAGGTATAAACAGGTTATGCTCAGCAACAAAATAAAATTCACTACCATGCACAAGGCTCTATATATTAAGCACTATTTAAATATGATATAACAAAAGCTACAAATTAATTATACAGTACTTTACAAGAAATATCATGACTAACAAAACAACTGTTTTACAATAACTCCAACGAGCATAATCGCTTTCAACAGAAACACCATACCTAGCAAAATATTATTAATTTGCTGCAGATATGAATCCCGTAATACCATACAATCTTATCTCAGTAATACAGAAAATATACTGATGACTGAGAGGAATATTACTTATAAGCATAAAAATCATTTCCCCCCCCCAACCATCTTATTTAAATATTTTATTATGAAACATACAGTACTATAAAGAGTGGTAAAGTATGCAGTTTGAGCACCATTAACAAATAAAATAATACAGCAACACAGCAGGACATGTACAGCTATAAGTGATGCCATCATGCAAGAGGTATGAGGGCTGTTCGAAAGTAACATCTGTTTACTTTAGGCAACTAATGTAAAAGTGGAAGTAAGTTCATGACACATTTCATTGTAAACCATCATATAACATGTCACCTAATGTTTCTTTCGTCTCTACAGAGTGAATTATGATGTGTCCTGCGATTGATAATCCCGTCAGCTATGAAAGTTGCAATGTTATTCACTTTCTTCATGCTAAAAGCATGAGTGCTGCTGAAATCCATTGTAAAATTATGTGTGGTTTACATACAAAATGTAAGGAGTGAAGGAACTCTAAGACAATGGTGTAGAGTGTTGAAAGATGGGCAAACAAATGTTCATAATGAAGAGCGAAGTGGTCGGCCAGCCACCTGTTCTGAGTGATGATATTATTCAAAGTGTTGACCAAAAAATTTACTAAAGATGGCGCTTCACAATTTCAGAACTCTAGTGTGAATGTTCACATATTTCACGCACTCTCCTCTGCGAGATTATCACAAGTTTAGCACAAGATGGGTTCAAAAATGCTTGTGAGTGCGCACAAAATGCAGAGAATGATTTTGGCTTTGACTTTTTTAGAGTTATACCAAAGATAGTAACAAATTTCTCAATCATATCGTACGAGTAACAGGTGATGAGACCTGGGTTTGATTTGTGAATGCTGAAACCAAAGTGCAGTCAAAGCAGTGGATGCATACACTTTCACCAAACAAACTGAAAAGATTTAAACAAACGTTTTCTGCCACAAAGCTGATAGCGACTGTTTTCTACGACAGGAAAGGATTGCTAATGGTGGAATTAATGCAGCAAGGGACCACAATAACAAAACATGGAATGCTGACATAAGGTGTAGTGCTCCTCCATGATGATGTGTGTCCACATACAGTGGCTATCACGCGACCATTGCTGGAGCACTTCAACTGGAACTTGTTTGATGACCCTCCTTCCAGCACTGAGCTCACTCCAAGTGACTACCACCTGTTTACCTACCTGAAGATCTGGTTGCTACCACAGCATTTCAACAATAATAAAGAGATGATGGAAAGTGTCAAAACATTGCTCGGCTCACATGTGGCAGACTTCTTTGATGTAGGCATACAAAAACTTACTCCACAATATGGCAAGTGATTCAATTCCAGCAATGACTACGTTTAGAAGTAGCTTGTTAACAGCTGCTTGGGGGTTACTTTCTGCATAGACCTCGTATTATGTGAAAAGCTCAACAAATTGTGGCCATTTATACATGACACAAATGACAGATGTGCTTTCATATGATGGCATCACAAGAGGAAGTGACATTATGTTCAAGGTCTGGTTTGTTTTCACCATTCTGGATGGAAGAAAAATTAATTTTATGTTATAAATACAGATAATATTTACATATACATGCCAACAGTGAATATAATACTGCAAACTTCAAATGTACAATCACTTACAATGCTTTGCAAGTTTTGTGATAACAGAAGGCAATATTCAGATACAGAACCATATTTGTTCAATATTTTGGTTCACCCATTAGACAAACCTGCTTTCAGCAGTTACTCAAAAGATAAAAGTTTCACTTCCATTCCCAGTAACTGAACCAATGCTTCAACCATTCCATATAATTTCAATAACTTACTGATATTATAACTTCTCAGAAGTATGTACCAGAAATGCTGTATAAGAAGTGCATCTTATGAACTTAATGAATCATGGAAGTTGAAATAACATGTTTTGATAAATTCAATGAATTTGAAGTTTTTTGCCTAATTTTAAGTTCCAAGTTCAGACTGTTGTGGCACATGCTTATTATCTGTTTATGATAACCAGTTGGCATAATACCAGATTCTGATATTTTACAAAGAATACTATTCTCTTTAATTCAGGACTCTGTATTTATAAGTATTCATATTTTGCTAATTATCATATAAAGAAACCAGGTGGCGGAGGGGGGGATGGAGAGGCTTCTTCCTCATACCTTGGAAGGTGATTATTGTTGTTATTGTTGTTCCTACTCCTCAAGGACCCAGCAGGACTATGACTGGCAGGGCTGGAGCTTGAATTCTTATTGATGTCAGTTACTGTGGTGCTATTGTCAGTACCGTTGTTTGGAGACTGATGTTCAGTCTCACCTAGGTTAGCCATGGAGCTCGACTTGAGAGTTCCAGGAACCTCAGTTCCTGTAGGAGGGGCCTGTGGTGGTGAGTATGGGGGAGGTGGGCTGTCTCCACTGCTGGGAGGTGGGCATCTCTCTTCCTGAGTGGAGCAGCTGAAGAAGAGAACACTATTAATTTTATTCAAACATTATGTCAATGAATACTTTTAACTCACTATCCCAGTCTCGTGAGGTTATCTCATACTCTGCTTATATGCTAGTGTTAGATTTTGGCAATTTATTTCACTTTTTGTGTACTTTCTTTATTTCACTTTTTGATTAATATTTGTTTTAAACGATTCAGTCATTCTTCTGTTTAAAGAAATGTTTTGTATTTTAGCTTAGTGATTCCCAGTCATATGTTCCACCAATAATTTTGCTAAAGAACTGTACTCCCACCATACTGGATACAATGCTTCTCTTATTCAAAGAAATGCATTACAATCATGTACAAGCCTATTGTAATATCATGTTAATCATTAAAATATCTTACTTAAGAAATTACATGTCCCAGCCAAGAGAGAATTAATTTCCACTTATTAGGAAACACTGCTTCAATGTGCCATCAAAACTTTTTGCTATAGCAAAAGGCAGGTGGTATTCGCATTTAATTACACAGCTTTATGAGATATATAACAAGTGTTAGGATTTAGATAGGGAAATTTTGAAATAAGTGAATGATCATATACATGGGTTCAAATGTTTCTGCTATAACATTCACAGGACCCAAGAAGAAAAATTGTGGCTTAGGGGAAAAGTGAATGAGCAGTGCGCCAGTGTCATAGAAACATTCTGATAACAGGCAGCAAGAACATGAATGCCAAAATTCAATCAAGATATATTTCAAATCCATTTTTATTCTGGTAAGGGTTGTTCTTCCATTTGAATGTTATGAGGGACAAATCTCTGTAACTGCTGTATGGTCAGCCTGTTAGGGTATTAGTTCTGATGCTGCTGCTCAGTATCTAGACTGCCCTCACCGAGGTTAAAATCAGATTGACAACAGGGAAATTAGTGGGTTCTGCCATTATCATCATTAACAGCAGTGTCAACTTCAAGATACAGGCCTTCGTGTCTGTTCTGGCTCACCTGACTTCCCATCTCTTCCTAAATCTTTCCATGCCCCTTCTCCTAATTGGTTTATAGTGCAGGGTGCATTTTGGCAATCTACAATTTTCAATTCCATCCAAATATTGTAAGTATTTTCTAAGATAATTTGTACATTCGCAATCCTGACCTAATGTCTTGATTTTATATTTTAACTGACTCATGTAACCTCACTTCTTTCAATTCCATACTTTGTAGAATTCTCTTTTTCAAAACCTACATTCCACTACCATACACCATCGTCAGAATGACAACTGCTTTCAATTACTCCTACATACAGAAATTCTACATACACTATTCATAACTCGAGAGAAGAACAGTGTATAAATAATTACTATACCAGTGAGTTAGGATGGACAGTAAACCAAAATTGCTGGCAGGTAATGTCATGCCAACTATATGTGGGTGCTGTAGTTGACACAATATTCTTTCTTGAGATATGCATGCTAAGACGGTGAAACATTGTAAGAAAAGTGAATCCGTGTTTCTTCAAATCTAGCAAAATTGTCTAAATTCTATGTCCACAATAGTGGTAGTAGTTTACTAGTTTCAATAGCTTTAGAAAAGTCAAGATACCCGAATGGCCATTAACTGAACATCGCTGTAGAATGGGTGAGACTTATGCTTCATTTCATAATTCATAATTTATTTATATGCATAAACTGTTACATAAGTCCAATTGGACAAGTCAGTTCCGAGATTTCACAGATGAAAATCTCAGCCTGGAGACTGATCATCCTGACCAAGATTCTTCATGATTATCCTCAATCCCTAATGCAAATGTTGAGTTATCACCTCAAACTAGGCCATGACCACTTTCTTTCCAATTCATTATTCACTAATCAACCCATCATGTGATGCCAAATAGTCTAAGCTATTGACAGTATGGTTAAATAAGATGAAAATAAACAAACTGATTGGATACTGAAGAAACTCACTGAAAACTTCAAACTCAAAAAAGCCAGCTTACTTTATTCTATGTCCTTCCTCGAGAGGCTTAGAGACCAAACAATAACCTGGTAAACATCTACCAAACTACATGGCACATTCCAGAAAACAATAATCTTGCTAGTCACTGTCATAAAAACCTTAACTTTCACACAGTTTAAAATTATTCAACTGCTCAAGAAGTTCTCTGTTAGTACTGACACTAGCAAATTATTTAGTAAATATTTTCAGTGTCTAAAAGCAACATGTAGCCATACCTTTTAGTTCTCCTAGGAGAATGCTGACTTTGTTTGCTGTTTGGGGACATCTTAACACGCATAGTCTTTGCATTTGTTTCAATTACTTTGTAAGGAATCTCCCTAAGTTGTGCTTCACTCATGCCATCTGTGTCAATTAGATCAAACTCTAGGTGTTTCTTGAGTTCGTCTGGTAATCGCGCTTTATTCTCTGATGGAGAACGAGATCTTGACCTGCAAAACAAAACTACTGGTCCAAGATTCAAAAAGATATCAGACAGTAGGGGCAAGGGGCATGAGCTATGAAAATATATGGTTACCTATTACTGTATTAGTTTAACCTTTATCGGACGAACGTCATCATATGATGTCGTTAAAAGTAAGGGCAGCTGGCCGAACGTCATCATATGATGTCGCGGATTCCACGCGTGTAAGGTTTTTTTTAATATTATATTAAAAATATAAATTGTTGTTCTATTTATATGATTTTTGGTCACCACCTTTATAAGGAGACAGCCTTCCTTCCTGCATGATCTAATGTAATCTAGGGACGTCATATGACGTTAAAAGTAAGGACAAATTTAAGAACGACATCATATGATGTCACGCATTCCACGCGTGTAAAGATTTTTTTAAAATTAAATTTAAAATATAAATTGTTCTTC